CTGAGCCTGGGCGCTGTCCCTCAGCTCTTCAGCTCAAGGGGAGTGCTCTCCCACTTGAGCCACAGCACCACTTCCGGTTTTCTGATGGTTAATTGAAGATAAGAGTCTCACAGACTTTCCTGCCCAGGCTGGCTTTGCATCTCAATCCTCAGATCTCAGCTTCCTGAGTAGCTAGGATGACAGGCGTGAGCCACCAGCTCCCAGCATCAGCTCTGCTTTTAAAGCAGCATTGTAAGAAACACATCATACAGATTACCTCACTTTATCTCATGACAACCATGTCAGGTAAATATCATTATTCCCATTTTTCATATGAGCAAACTGAGACCCCTAAAGAGTAAGGTAAAAGCCATAACTTCAAGTTTGTCACATTTTAAGACCTGTATTTCCATAGGGCCCTAACTTTGTTTTGTGTTTTGAGGTTCTGGGGATCTAAAGCCCCAGGTCTCTTGCATGCTAGGCAGGTGCTCTACCACTAAGCTACGCCTGTAGCTGGAACCCTGCTTTTTCAGAAGACTAGGAGATTCTATAACCTCTTGGAAATTGAGCAGGCTCATCTCTCTGTCCCAGAGACCTGGCTATAAGGAGTTGGGGTAGAGTGTCCATGACCTGGGCTTTTCTTTGCTCCATAGGGAAAGCCAGCATCTGGTAAGGGAAGCATCTTTGCCCGGGAGATCGCGGCAAGGCGGGCTTCTGAAGGCAGGCCTCCATCCGCCAGAGAAGTTGTGCCCAACCCAGACCCAGCACAGGGTGAGCTGCTGCTGCACATGTTTAGACCGTGTGTGTGTATCAAACTCAAGTCACCATGCATGTTAGGCAATGTACTTGCCCATGTACTTAAAGCACTAGGAATAGGAGCCTTGGGTCCACTGTGGAACTTAAGTACAGGGAGGAGGCAGGCTTTGGTGCAACTCTAAAAGAAAGGGAAGGGAGCCTGGCGATGGTGGCTCACGCCTGTAATCCTAGCTACTCTGAGGATCGCGGTTCAAAGCCAGCCCGGGCAGGAGAGACCCTGAGACTCCTATCTCCAGTAAACCACCAGAAAACCAGAAGTGGCGCTGTAGCTCAAGTGGTAGAGCACTCGCCTTGAGCTGAAGAGCTGAGGGACAGTGCCCAGGCCCAGAGTTCAAGCCCCACGACCGAAAAAAAAAAATAAAAATAAAAAATTATTAAAAAAAAAAAAAAGAACAG